AGGCAAAGTAGAACGCACAACTACATTCTACATGAATTTTTGCGTGAATACCCCATGGAGCCTGATATTTTTGTGAATTTGTTATTCACGTTGTTATGTTAAATATCAGAATCAAGAATGATTATTATTTGAATTGTGGTTACGATCACAAGATTAAGAATGGATGTTTGGCTCACAGTTGTTTTGTAAAAGCGAAGGGGGCTGAGTCTGAAATTAAGATGGAAGTAAAGGCCGCTGATAGAATAATAAGAACTCATCCACAAAAAGATCAAACCTATATGATACCGCTCTAGTGGGTAACCCTATATCGAAACCAAACAAGAGTTGGGATATATTTCATATTTCATCGGATCCACTACTTTATTAATTGACATCAGGAAATTGTATTCGCGCCTATTTTGGAATACAAAAAGAGTACAATTTCATAATCTGTGACGATACTTATACACGACTTATACCTAATGATGACTTAAGTAATCACATAGGGGGTGTTTTTTGTGACTATTGCAACTCTCGCGAGAGAGAAGGAGGGTGGATAAAACTGTAGAATGAGGTTAACTGTCGATTTATCGGCGAGTAGGACATATTTGCAGACGCATTTTGTTTCGTTGAGACAATAACAGCATTCATTATTATTATTGATAATATTTAACGTGATGTTATATACGGCGACAACTCCTAATGATAGATAGTATAACAGTATACAGCTATAGCTTATGATTATCATTTTGTGTACAGGGTGTTCCTTAATGTTATGCTTATATTCAAGGGGCCGATTCTTCGACCCATTCCAAGAATAAAACTTCACATGAACGTATCTCGTGAACGTCCTAACTTTTGAGATACAGGGTGTCAATGTTGAAAATATTCTTGTCCACCCTGTATAGCTTTTCGTGGTGGAAAAATTCAGTCTGCTATGTGACTACGAATCTCAAAATGTTACATACTATGGTTATCCAGTAATGGATGTCCTGAATGGAGTACTCAGACATCAAAATTTGAAGTCTGGTCTCATTTTTTCGTTTTTTTCTCAAAAACGAAGCTTTTTATCAAGTATCAACATAAGAACCTTTTTTGTACATAATCAAGTAGCCTTTCATGACATTGTATAAAATTTGGAGATTTTTTGTCGTTGCTCACTCTTAAGTAAAATATAAACAATAATTTTCCAGTAACGGTGCCACTGGTAGAGAAAATAAAAATTTCTGAACATCAGAAAATGCACCTCGATGCATAAAAGACGTGTATCAGATTTCATGTAGATGTATATAATATTGTCTCAGTAATTATCAAAAAACTGAATATTTTTCAAAACTCCATCACCCTGTATCTCAAAAGTTAAGACTTTCAGGACTTACGTTCATATGGAGTTTTCTTCTTGAGATAAGTCGAAGAATCACCCTCGTCGAATATAAGCATGTCGTCAAGGAACACCCTGTATAACATAATTGATCACGCAACTAGATGTCGAGTCTCACGAGTACGATGATGTCAAATTTGATCTCATTAGGTAAAATCTCTAGAAAGAACATTCTTCCGGATTTTCACGCCAACCAGAAACACCTATATTTATTCATTTAATTTATGTATTCGTCGACGTAGAATACCAAACATTTTTTTGTCGAGGTGGTTGAAATCCTTCATGGACACCATATGGGTCTGATCCCTCACATGATAGTGTAGGAGTCCCCTGACTCTAGCCAGGATATACTCACTCAACATTCCACCCCGCTTGTAGGCTCGTCTGACCGATGTCTCCGACGACACTTAGGCCTAGTGGCCCATAGTATCTTTCCTAGTAGTTTATATTGTACCGACTCCATTTTCTTCGTTCCTTGAACAAGTCTGCACAAATCCTCTACTGGATGTGAGTCAAATACTTCTGGTTCGCCGACTGGTTCTGTCTTTTGCGATTCAATGCCCCGCATCTGCACAGTTTATGTGATACTGTTACTGGTTTCTTTCCGCATAGTCTGCAGTGTGGGTCTCCATCATACAGTCAGTCCTATTCTGATGAGGTGCTCCCTCACTGGCGCATGGCCAGTCATGAGTCTCGTAACAGTTTCAATCTGTACTCTGTTCTAGTTGAGCTGGTCTACAGTTCGTTCATGACTCGATTCCTTAATGTATTGCTTCTTATGTCTGTTTCTTGGGATGTTTTTACAGTATCTCTTATGTTCTGCATGAATCCATTCTCTAACTGACAATTGTGCTATACATTTTGGTACTCCAAGAGTCTGTCCTGGATCTGGCTCGTTGTCCGACCTCTTCTTGCACGTTCGTCAGCTTTCTCATTGCTAGCGATCCCCTGATGTCCTGGCACCCAGATTAGCTCGACGCAATTCTGGTCTGCCAAAGTTCTCAGTTCCCTCTTGCAATCCCATACCAATCGAAATGTCACTTCCTGGCTTTTTATTGCCTTCAGTGCCGCTAGACTGTCTGACATAATGCGGATCTGCTCGTTATGAAGTATGAACACAAGAGAAAACAAACTCACCTCCGATTATCGTATCCCCAAATAATCGCAAGACGTTCTCACTTGAAAAAACTGATATTGAAATCCTCACGATACTGAGAAACTCTGACAGTTGGAAATATTCTACACAATACACATCGTAGTCTCATGATTACACTGCCGAAAACTTGTGAATTCAACCGCCTAAAGTGTAAGAATTATCAACCAAATTCACAATGCTTGCGATATCATGAACTTTTAGTCTGCTCTTTATTCTAGGAGCTCTTTGAGATCATACAAAAAGAAGGTCCCATCATTTGACGTAGGTAGCAGCAGCTCTCAAGTGTTGATATTCGTATTCTTCCTACTTGTGATGTGTATTCCTGGTCGTCTTCATTTCTATATTTGGGTTAAACGCACATATAACGTAACAGCTTATCAAACACCAGGTGGCTGTCGGAGTTCATCAGGAATGATGCCTACATGTCGGTTATAAACACGACCACATCCAACATAGAAGGAGAATCATTCGATGAGTTTTAAGGTGATGAATGAGTTGTGGTACGAGGACTCTTCCGGTAGCATCTTCAACGCAGCATCCCTGAAGGCTAATATCCAACGTTTTGCGCCCCGCTTTATCGGATTTGCCCAGCAGGACGCACATGAGTTCCAATGCTTTCTGCTGAGAGGGCTGCATGAAAACGTCAACTGAATCCCAGATCTGGATGTAATAAAAATCTACGAGTCCTTCAATAATGATGACAGAGCTTTGGTACAATCTATTGAGCTTTGACGATTCAGAGATTGTCATTAATTCACTTGGCCAGTTGGAGTCGACATCGGAGTGCACAAATCTCGGTCATTGTATTGTAACGTTCGATTCCTTATGGGATTTATCATCACCAATTCCTCAGAATTAGAGTAGAGTGAGTTTATCAAATTGCTTGGATATGTTTACTAGCGTAGTGCAAAAATGACTGAAATCAATCAAACTCAACGAGTTTCCCGAAATATTCGTTCAAAATCTGAGACGTTCCTCGCAGACTGAAGGATTCACCGAGAAAGCGTAGCCTCGTGATAGGAGTTTCAGTTTCTATCCACGTTGAATTGACAGTAGGTGAGTTCGATTTCCACCACGACCGTAGAAATTCTTCTGATGGCCTGAGGAAGTATTTAGGATCACACGTTGAAAGGTGAGACCTCCGTCATTCCTTGATCACACAAGTCTCTTGAAGACTGTCGAAGGTTGATGGTAAGAGCGCAACCGAATGATGGATGAAAACAATTCGGAACAATTCTAGAATGCTATCTTCGACTCCCCCCTGAACGGTTTGGACATGAGCCACTACTCGACTGACGGCATATTACCAGTTGGATTCGACCTCTATACCATTTCCAACCATGATGGTTCCATCTACACCAGACACTACATGGCCTATTGTAGACACCCATATGCAAATGTTTGGTTCGGATATAATGATTCTCGTGTATCTTTAGTTTCGTCAAAATATCTTGTTGGTTGGGATGCATTTATGTTCATCTTCATCAAGAAGAGGGATTGGTATTTCCAACGATGACCTGCCATACATGTATATATAACATAACATGGTCAAATTAATTATCCATTTATCTATTTTATTTTGTTGATATTTTGTGAATATTTATTGTATTATTCGTAAAAAATTGGCCGTTTCCATTTATTCATCAGTTCGGAGAAAATAGCGAATATCATAGACCCTGTTTCGTCAGAACTATTGAATCTTTAGAACTGAATTACAGCTCAAAATATTGGAAATTTCGTTCAAACAACGTCTTGATGAAATTTCTCGTCAGAGCCTTCACATATGTTTTTTTTTTGCATAAAACTTAAATAAGTGAAAAACTATAGCAGTTTTCCGGCAATAACACTTATCCTGCGTAGATCTTAGAGTGCTGCAAATCTCGACAAACACTATCTGAAGGTACCCAAACAAAATGATCAGGAAAGCAGCTTTACGATATTAGAATGTTTTCTAACTTCTGAGTATGTTACGATTGGCCTAACCATGAATGAAGGATAAATCATAGATAATGAACCTTCATTGAAATTGCAGTTATCCATGGTTACCTTGCGGCATAGGTTATCTAGAACCTACTATCAACAATCATAAGATTATTTCTTCAGAAATCGATCAGAAAGACTTCTTGTTTCGAACATTCATAATGGGGAATATTGAAGATGAATGTAATGATGGAGGGTATTTCAGAAACCTTTTCTAATACCAAGGAAATATAAAGGGCATTCCATCGAGAACTAGAATTTTTTCGTGCTCCCTGTATATCTGAAACTCATATTCCAGTGTATTCAATGAGACAACAAGGTTATTTTTTTCCCGAATGTTCAAAATGAGGAAGTTATATAGTGGGTGGTACTTCACCCAGTAAAATGAGTGTAGCAATAATTCTAGTAGATAATTCTATATTTGGGGTTGCGATCACAAGTTCCTAGTGGGCACTTAGGCTCTCCCAAAGCTAGCAGTCGGTTTAACCATGTTATGTTTTGTAGTAACGACTTCATGAGATTCAGCGTAAACTCACCTGATTTACCTCATGTGGAAGAAATAGGCAACAAAATTGCTAAAGAAGAAGAATCGTGGTCCATTTTCGAAGATTTCATGACAGGTAAATACAAAAGAACCTCGCAATAATTGCCTATTTGTAGTTGAGATTTTGTTCAATGTACAATGATTGTTCATTTGCTAGACGGATTTGTACAGTTGTATTCAATGAAAAAGCGTACAATTATTAGAGAGATAAATTAACGTCATACTATTAGCGTAAAACATGCTATCGGGAATGATTGTTTACCAAATGTTGACAGTTGTCATAGGTTGTCAAAAATATAAAGCATTGACTGAGCCAGTTTCACACAACTAGATCTAGGTTAACGTTAACCTCTCATATCAATACTTGTACGCTTTTTCATTGAATACAACTGTATGTATGGAAAACTGATTCAAAATATATGTAAATTAATTGTACAATAATAGAAGGAAACAGTACCTACCATTATAAAAGTAGGCCAACCGAATTCGCAAAAAAATAGACCCAAGTATGAAGATTCAAAATACCTTGAACAAGGTGTAACCCAACTCCTTATTCAGTTTGAAGAATTTGATGGGGTTGTATAGTAGGAGGTTGACAAGTTGATGATAATTTTCAGTTGTTATACCACTAGACGTTGAATCATTTCTGGAAATTTCCGGGAAATAATTTTACCTCGTGTTGTATTCGACAAGAACAGTTCACACCAGGTTGTGTTCGGAAAGTAAATGAATTTATAATGTATTCATTCATTCGATTTTCATATAGGTTCATGAATAAATTCAGTTTGGGTTGCAGTTTCGGCACCAATGATAGTTTTGTAGCTCATACAAATTGCTATTTCCTACCTATTGTAGTTGCATAAAGAAACCTTTGTAGAATGTAACATATTAAGTAGTTTTTTTCCATTCTATTCCTTCGAGTTACTACAAGTTGTCGAAAATCATGATTTCATGAATCAATTTTCTAGGAAGGAACATACATATACTTGTAGTATAGAAAGCAAGTAGGCCCTCTTGAGCCCATTTTGTTGATTCCTGGTGCACACATATCTACTCTTTCTTCTCCTAATTATTCTTTATTTTCAATCTACGTGACCTTCTGATGAAGGCCAGTATGTCGGTACGCCCAGCTGAGGTTGATAAATCTTCCTGTTGAGCGTATCATCACCAAAAATTCCGAATCTTAGTATTTCATCATACGCCTTATACCAGCCCAAAAAACGTATGACTTTGTACCCAGAGAGCACAGAATATTCTATAAATATTCTGACAACGTTCGAATATACTTATTTCAGAATATTCTTACAGAATGTTCTCACACACTTGACATATTCTCTGATTATCAATTTTTGGATATACTGAAATTTTTTTTTAAATATACTGAGATTATTTTCAGAATCGTATCAAAATATGTGATATTGATTGTTTCGATATTAATAATGTTCACCCTGACACAACCTATTGTTCTCTAGCCTCAATGCTGATTATCTTACTAATTCAGTGTGGTCATCTTGCTATCCACCTCCTTCAATATACTAGGAACATTCTCAGAATATTTGAAACAGTCCATTCTGAATGTTCATAGAACGTCCCTAGATTGTGAGACTTTTCTGAGAATATCCAAATATTCTCGAAGAATATCCTATGTACGTTCTATGAATGACATTGTGCTATCTGGGTATATAGTAGATGCAGTTTGGTCACAATGGATTCTTCGCCTATCAATTATTGATTTCTACTCAATATTGTACCACTAAATCACTATTTCAGGACGTTGAAAAATAATTCTGTCATTAGGACGTCAAATATTTTCCGAATTATTTCACCAAGGAGAAAAAAAAATCCGCTAAAAAACATGAGTTGATAAGGTGATTTGTGAAACCCAATTTGGGTAAGTAAACATCACTGGTGTGGAATTCACATGTGCAAAAAAGGTTTCGAAAAATAGGAATCGACCTTTGGATTTCATGCCATCATAGATTTCCACACTGTTTAGTTATTTGAACTACCGCAACGTCTTGCTAATCTTGAACTTTCTATAGAACCTAGGTGCAAGAAAAATACTTATAAAATACATTCTACAAGGATTCAACGCATCACCAAAAAGAAGCCACAAGTTTAGAAAACATTTTCGTCAGGAAAACAAAAATTTTGTATCAGTAAAATTCAGAGGGTCACTGAAAAATGGTATCACAATCCAGTGTGGACCTGGATTGACACAAAGTTGTGTGAACCTGGAATCGAAATCAACTCAGAAAGTTGTATCGTGTACTTGTCCGATTTGGACGATTTTTGTTTCGAATGACTGACTATTTTCTTCTGAACATCGGTGTGCCAACTGTATTCGCATAAAAACCTTTTTTCCATATATACTGGGTGTAGCAATTACGACGAGTTTTTTTAATGAAATTTGTGAACCCTGTAGAGTTTTATAGTTACATTATCGAGTCAGAATTGTAATCACACTTCAGCCTCATTTTTTTTCAACATTTCGTTTCGAAAAAAACTACGCATCATTGATTTCGTCTCACCTCAAAATTTTGCCTCGCTTGAAATATGAATAACTTTTTTCGCTTTGAACGATTTGGATTCGGATCATACTGTTCGTTAGTCCAGTCCTCCAGCTATAATCTCGTGATTCTCTGAAACGTGAGGTTTATCACCTAAAAACGCTACGGGGTGTTATCTGAAACTGTGCAAAATTTCAAAAATTTCGAAATTATCCCAAATGAAGAAAAACTTCTTTTTTAACTTTTACATGAGAGGTATGTAGATGATGTCACTATCTTGAGACATTTTTCATATTGTCTCCTTATCTCTTTCATTCGAAGAGTGACCCCAAAAATTTGAATTTTTGGTTTCACAGTCATAACTTTTTTCCTCGTCAACCGACATTTGGAATCTCAGGCTTATTTCGAAGCTTAAACTTCAGATGAAGGGATATGAAGATCAGAGTTCACTCAAGATGAATATTATACAGTGTGTCTCACTTCTAATGGAAGCACCCCAATATCTTTCTTAATTGTTGAGTTAGGATTCTGAAATTCGCAAGAGCGATAGATATACCGAAAATACACACTATGACCATGTGGAGTCGTCTCCAGTTGAATTCACTGCTCGCCAACAGCCATGGAACCACCTACAAGAAAAAATAAGGAAGCAAATTTCAGAACCCTACCTCAATAATTACGTGAGATACGGGAGTGCTTCCATGGGAACACTTCCCAGGAAAAACATGTCACTGAATTGGACATCCTGATTTGAACCCGTAGTGTTTTTTTGAACCTATTTTGGCTCCTTATAACATTTTCCGGAAATTTGGGTGGTTCCTTGAATGTCGGAGAGCTGTGTTTATTTTCAGTATATCTTCCGCTCCTGTAAGTTTCAGAATCCTAACTCAACAATTACGAAACAAACAGGGTTGCTTCCATTAGGAGTGAGGAACACTGTATGATCTTGAGTCAATTCCGATCTCCATATCTCTTCATCTGGAGTTCCAGCTTCAAAATACGATTTCAAAAACGGGTTAACAAAAAAAGTTATTACTGAAAAATCAGGAAGGTAATCATTTGAGATCACTCTGTAAATAGAAGGAATGAGAAGACGATTTGAAAAATGTCTCTAGGTAATGAGATGATATTTATGCTTCTGCTGTCGAAGTTGAAGAGAAAGTTTTTGTTCATTTGGGATCATTTTGAAAATTCCGGAATTCTTCACAGTTTCAGGTGACACCCTTTAGCGATTTTATATGGAGGAACTCATGTTTCGAAGAAGTATGAGATTATAGCTGAAGAACTGGGCCAGCGAACATTGTAATCCCAATTCAAATTGTTCGAAGCAGAAAAAACTAACTTATATTTAAACAGGGACAACATTTTAGGCTGCGACGAAATTCGTGTTGCGTAGTTTGGAGAAGAAAATAGAGTGAATCCATAATAGCAATGTTGAAAATATTTTGAAAAGCTGAAGTATACTGTCAATTCCAACGTGATGATGCAACTGTTTTAGACTCAACAGGATATTACTAATTCCATAGAAAAAAAACACGCTATGAAAGCCACACCCTATTTTGAAAAAATAGGAGTTCTCATGCGAATACAGTGTGTACACCGATGTTCATGACTTACTATCGTCTCATTTGGAACAAAAGACGTCCAAATCAAAAAATAAGTCTTGACTAAACTTTCGACTAGTCCTTGATGGTGCGTTCATCTCATTTCATTCAACAAAAAGCATCTACTTTCCTGACTGATACCTGACAGACAATCAGATATCTGAATATCATTTATTTTTCAGAATTTGACGAATTGAAAAACGAAACCTGGATCGTATTCAGGAAGAAAATATACAAGTTGGAAGATTTTCTGAAGAATTGGCGCGAAAGGTTGCTCCCAGTTGAGAACAATGAATTAGTCACGAGGCTACTCCAAGAAATCAATAAATACGAAGTAAGTCTATACAGGGTTTGCCAAATTGTATTATCTATTTATTTTCACATTAACTTTCTGGATATTCTGGAAGAACGACGTTGTAAATAAAAAAATAAGCTTCGGAAATGTTCTCTTAATTATTGACAATTATAAGAGCGTTGTTCTTGATGACATAGTGCTTCTTGTGTGTGGAAAATCGATAGAATTCGATTCAGAAGGAAATGGGTAGGTACTATTTCATAACCAAAATTATCTTCAGATCTTTCAGTTTCAAATGTATTTTCCAGGGCTGTTTTAAATGTTCGACCATAAACTCAGAGATTCAAGTATTATCAAACATTGTCATACAAATCAAGGCAGAGATGTCAGACGACAAGAATATCTTCATGAGAATTCAGATCCCGAAAAAAACTAGTTTTTTATACATTTACAATTTCAACGGTTAGGAAATGTGCTCCCATAATATTTTCGGATGTTCGGTGAATATGAATAGCAGAAATAGTTTTCTTATAGAATTCGTTGCTTTGTTCGAAAATCGGTTAGGTGAGAAGATGATGATTTGATTGGTGAGATTATTTATTGAAGATGTATTAGATAATTCAATGAAAGTTTGTATTCACGTCAATTTTTTTTGTTAGGTAGGTAGGTTCTTTAGTACCTCTTCTCATTCATGGCAGCTTCCCCTCCTATCCAGGATTAACTATTCTTGCATCCTTCAGAGTAACTTATCGTCAACAGGTGATTGTTGAGAAAGCATGTCATCACTGGTTTTTCGAGTTTTTTATGTTTTTCAATCAACTCCTACAGCATAATTGGAGTCTGGAAACATGATTTAGAATAATAATTATGCTAAAGTCGCCATGACGTTCCATAAGGTCGTCCTGCTTGTCCATAATATAGATTCTTCACTGTACTTTCTTTTCGAAATCAATCAATGAGTGATATTATTTCGAATTCAGCATTACATAAAGATTCTGGGAGAATCATAATATACAGTGTGTTTCATTTGAAATAACTGTTGCGAACGTCATAACGCGAACGTCGATCGCCTTGTGAATCGAATTTCTCCTCATAGATTTGGCGAATGAGATTGAGAATCGACGTGTTTTGGGAGATTTATCCAGAAGGAAGAATAGTTTCACAGAAAATGAAGACTTACCTCCTCTTCTCATTTTTTTCTATTTCATGAAAAAAGCACTGTCAACTGATTACTTCTGACTCGAAATAGTTAATTGGTTGAATAATCATAATTTTGTTTTCATTCCTTACAACACAGGTCACATTGTAAGGTTTTCTACACTTCGAATTGATATTTCGTATATATTCCGAATAAACTTCATCATTATTATAATTTTCATTTCGAGAAAAACAGAATATACTTCATTCTGATATGACTATCTTTCCTATCGTTCATTGAGATTGATACCCAATTGATTAACCGGTAGTTCAAGGTTGAGAAGGTAGGTGGCATTGGCCAGTGGAAAAACTCCAAATTCTGCGTGATGAGATTACTGTTAATCGATGATAAAAAGGAGATTCATTTGAGCGGAAAAATGCTTGGTGGTTTCACATTCTTTACTCAAATTGTATAATTTTTTTCATTCAGGTTGTTGCACCACTGTTGAAATATGTTAGAGGAGAAGACTTCTCAGAAAAACATTGGGTCGATGTGTTCAGCCTACTCCAGATGGAAGTCAAACCAGTGGATCAGTTGGCTCTAAACGATTTTCTGGAAGTTTCTGTGAAAATTCAGAATTCTCTCAAGGAACTACAGGTCAGTATTTTCATTACAATGGGTCGATAATTCTTGGAAATTCTAGTTGAATGGAACCCATATATCAAGAAAGAGAATATATCTATAATGAAAGTGGAAATGAATTACGGTCAATCTCGATTGCAGGCAAAACTACATCACCTATAGAAAAAAGTTGGCTGGCGAAATTGTAGGTAAAGGAGATCAATTACTCTTGTGGTTACAATATTTCCACATAACCTCAAAATTTATGTGGAACATTCAAATAGCCAATGTTTTGGGTTTCTTTTTTATTCTTTTACAGAAGAAATTTTTCCTCACGAAATTTCGTGAAAACCCACCTCTTTATGTACCAAACACACTATGATTTTTTTGATCTGAAATATCCTTGTTCTACTTCATTTAGACTCATTATCGAAAAAACATCCTGATTTTCAATCAAAAATTCTTGCGTCAGAATATCAGCATTTTCAGGAAAGTCGAAAGGCTTCTTGTTCGTTGAAGTCTCTTCATTCTGATGGTATGGAGAATAAATACATTTCAATGGTGAATGTTTTCAGAAAATGCTGAATAACGGAACTAGAATTCATATTTCTCAAATCATTATCTACAATTTTGAAATATTTATTGAAATTTACTCTAATGAATACTCAATAAAAGTGAGATTCTATATAACATTGATCAACAAAAACAATTCGATTCCATTAAACATTTGGATCGCATGAAACATGCGAAAATAGTGGTTCTAGATGATGAAGATAGAATTTGAAGGGGATTTTATATAAAAAATGTTGCTGCTGCTTCGTCGTTACTCTGCATCTTCTGAGAACAGTTTCCACAATAATGCATTTATTATTTCACATCATCGGAAAGTAGAGATATTGACCAACAGAAAGAACATCGACTTTTGGGAGAAAGCTGATATTTTTACCTAAGAATTTTCAATTGGAAATTAGGGTGCTTTTTCGAGATAAAGTCAAAATAATGTGAAACAATGAATATTCCGAATCGAGAAAATCACAGCGTAATTGTTACATAAAGGAGTATGTTCTCAACAAATCAAGTAGAGGAGATTTTTCTGTGGGAAATGAATATCAAACATCATTTGAATTGTTCACAAGAATTTTGAGGTAATACTAGAAAAAGGGTGAAGATAAAAGTTTGAGATCTGTTCATTACCTACAACTTTGCCATTCAACTTTTTTGTAGGGCTTGTGAGTAGAGCGGCTATACAGACTCTGGGAGAAGCCAATCAGAGACCAGCATTTGGTTGGAGGCCACGCCCACTGAAACCGGGCGTGTAATTCAAATTATTCATACGTCATCACGTCGCCATCGTGAATAAATAAATTGAAAAAAATTTGTCACCGCTGAGAAATTGAACCGGGGACCTTTGCATTATGAGGCAGCGAATATACGCACTGTGAAATTCCGACCTCCGTGATATTTCAATTATTTTAATCGTTTCCAAACGGGATATCTATCGCTGGCGTGTGCTTATCTTTGAAACGTTTCTATCGAGGCAAGCAAAGCGGAAGATTCGCTCCAGAGATAAGAAACTTCGAGTCGAAAATAATATCCATTGCTGGCGTGCGCTTATCTTTGAAACGTATTGATTGAAGCAAGCGAAGCGAGAGATGCGTTCCAGAGATAAGAAGCTTCGATTCATAAATAATATCCATGGTGGATCTCTCGCTTCGCACTACCTCGATAGATCCATTGCAGAGATAAGTCGGTATTACATCGAAATGAAATGATGGTGGAATATTTCTATGTTAGTTTTATCGATAATATACACACAACACCGAAATTGGCTTCCACTGATAAGAGGCGTGTGCAGCGATAACCGTCACATTGTTGCTAGGCGTTGGAAAATATTATTTGTGAAATCGATAACGCTACAATGTTGTCAGATGTTCAAAAGATATCTGATGCCATGTGGAACATGATAGATGATGTTTGCATTATAATGTATGTGGAGAGTGGGAGGATACGACAACGAGTATATATCATAATGAACTATTTTATTCAAGTAATCCTTTTCTACAAGGATGACATGCCTCTTTAGGAGATGGCGGTCCATTCCAGTGTGTGGGCCAATCGGGACGATTATAATGAACGAAAGATGGCAGTTTGATTTGTAGGTTAAAGTTGCTGCGATATTATTGAGGAAGTTTGTGCCACACCCTTAATAGCCCATGAGGATCTGCATATTCAATGAGACATTCTAAAATTTGTTCTATAATTTGTTCTAAAATTTCTACTGGAATGTACTGCAATTCTTGTTCAGTGAATTTCGTCAGAGTCAAAGAGGGAGATTTTATAAACTTCAAGAGCACAGCTAATTCAGACTTCATAATTTTTCGAGCAGAGCCAAAATATTTCAGATGCTACTAGTTTTGCGTCAAGTTGTAGAAAGATGAAATAAATTATATTGAAAACAAAACGAGTCACATTCCTCACAACATTTTATTCAAATCAGATGGAACCTCATTTTTACAATAGATAAAATATTCTCCGAGAGCATTACTAGACATACAATCAGAAACATCACAAAATCCAGATATAAGCTCTTCCGCACCCAAATCAGTCAGGTTTTTTCTAATCCAATCAGCTATAATATTCAAAATGTTCTGATAATACATGGAAAAGTCCAATTCGTTTATTAGCGCCACTCGATGCGAAACAACACACGTTTCAGCCCTCAAAATGTTGCATCATCCTCTTCCACCAATTCGAATGTAATGTGGTATTTGGTGAGTGACAGCATTTTGACACCATTGCGAACGAATTTGGTTATGGTGATATAGTCTCCGCAGTTGGCAACAGCAGGATCGGATTCATCAATGAAACAGGGCAGGGGTGCTTCAAAAAAGTCTTGTTGTACCTTATACAGCGAATCGATAAAGGTCCCATTCATATGTGGAAAACGAAATTATCGCTGGATGAAAGGGTTTCTTCAGGATGATGCTCGGACTGAACTGTCTAGCAGGACTTGGTCCGCACTGAATCATGTAGGTGGACAACTGGAACGATGAAGTCAGCAGGTGGTACGATTCAGCTTTCCCTGCCTGCTCAACCATCTCCAGATACGTATCAACGTCACCATAATAATCCAACATGACCGATGAACTAGTACTACCATTTTCTAAAAACACTTCATAAGACGAATAACCAGAGTCGATACTCATTGCTATCGAACTAATGTGTTGGATTGGGTCGATCCTCACTATTTATACCACCACTGCCGACTCGTCACAACAACGGTTGATTGAAATGGTTGTTATTTGTCAGCGATCGACGTGAAAGGCACCTCACATCCATTCAGCTTGTGCTGGTTTTCCATATGATTACATTATAACTTGTTGGTGGAAAAAATTCAGCTGTTGGGTGTATCATCGAATTCCAGCCATTTGACTCTATAACCGATTTTTGAATGGAATACAGGGTGTTTCATTTGAAAATCGAAAGTTGATACAGTTTCCATGAAAACCGGAAGAAAAAAATTTTAAAATGTGAGAAAGTGCTCTCTATGATTCAGAATTCGAATGCCTGGCCAATTCTTGTGAAAAAAAAATGCAAAGTCGATTTTTCAAGTCGCTTCACTCTAGGGTAATTAAACGGGAATAATGACCAATCTAACATTTTGTGTACAAGGATTATCAAGAATTATTTTTGAGAAGTCAATACTTGATCCTCGTTCATCTCACCTAAGAAGTTCTTACTCAATCTTTGTTTCATCTTACATAAAGAGGTCGATAAATCTTGCCTATGTATAAACCTCCATGTTTTATCATAAAGAAGTAGGTCACATTACGTGTGAGTTGTTCTTCAAATCGATTTCTATAAATTGGTGACAAGCTTTTAAATTCCGCTTTATTCAAATTGTTCCAATCCACACCTTCGGTCCTATTCGATGAGATGATTCTCATTCCTTGAAGGAATAGTTGCAATCGCCGAACCTTCATCACGTGAAGACTGTAGATAGATTGCAAACTCGCTCAAAGTTTTTTGAGGAGACAGTCACTATTATCTCAATGATGATCACAACTGCGAACATTATTTGGTACGAAAAAAATCATTTTCACGAAGACATGGACCCTGCATTGTATAGAAAACCTCTGGATATTGATTTATTCAATCGCAAACGACTTGAATCGTCATGAATTGGAGATATCTCATATATAATTGTCATGATGCAGTTAATCCAGCTGATGAAGTCTAGAATTTTCATCGAGAACTAGGGGTAGATGGCCATATTCACTGTATTATGTGAACACCGTGAAGTATCGAAGATCTGGTCCTATGTTTGCGACAGTGATGAAGATCTGGTCAACTATTCTGAAAAGGACTGTTGAGCAAATGATCACCGTATTATGTAAACACTGTCCGAGAATATTCGGCAACTATCCTGGGAAAAATTGCTGCGCGAACGCGAAATGAAGTTTGCGAAAGTCATGAAGATTTGGTCTACTATCCTGGAAAGGACTGTTGAGCAAATGATCACCGTATTATGTAAAAACTGTTCGATAATATTTGGCAAATATTCTGAGAAGGACTGTTGCGCGAACGCGAAATGAAGTTTGCGGAAGTGATCAAGATCTGTTCTACTATCCTGAAAAGGACTGTTGAGCAAATGATCACCGTATCATGTTCACTCTGTCCGAAAAATATTTGACATATATCCTGATAAGGAATGAAGTTTGCAGAAGTGATGAAGACTTGGTCTACTATCATGAAAAGGACTGTGGAGCAAATGATCACAGTATTATGTAATCACTGTTCAAAAATATTCGGCAACTATCCTAGAAAGGACTGCTGCGCGAACGCGGAATGAAATTTGGAAAAGTGTCGAAGATCTGGTCTACTATCCTGAAAAGGACTGTTGAGCAAATGACCACTGTATGATGTGAACACTGTCCGAAAATATTTGGCAAATATCCTGGGAAGGACTGCTGCGCGAACGAGAAATGGGGTTTGCGGAAGTGATGAAGATCTGGTCTACTATCCTGAAAAGGATTGTTGAGCAAATGACCACTGAATTATGTAAACACTGTCCGTGAAAATATTCGGCAACTATCCTGGGAAGAACTGCTGCGCGAACGCGAGATGTAGTTTGCGAAAGTGATGAAGATCTGGTCTACTATCTAAAAAGGACTGTTGAGCAAATGAATCACCGTAGTATGTAAACACTGTCCGAAAATATTTGGCAAATATCCTGGGAAGGACTGCTGCGCGAACGCGAAATGAAGTTCGCGAAAGTGATGAAGATGTGGTCTATCATCCTAAAAAGGACTGTAATGCAAATGATCACCGAATTATGTAAACACTGTCTGGAAATATTTGGCAACTATCCTGGAAAGGACTGCTGCGCAAACGCAAAATCGAGTTTATTCACAACCATATATGTAATGTTATCATCACTAACGTCATTGGAGGTTGGAAAGTGACACATTACACAACTCTACTTCCCGTCCTCACTTTCCGCCCCTCACTCCTTCCCGCACTAATTTCTCGCCCTCACTCATGGAATAATTCAGGTATGTTCAGAACGAAACATAGATTCATTGATTCTGATCGAAATATTATGGTTGTGAATAAAATAATATACAAACCTCGGTAGGAAGTTTCATTCATGTCTCGAAATTATTGCAAACCTTGACGCTTTGCGTCTCGGTTAACTAACTGATCTCACGACAGGAATGAATCACTTCCCACCTCGGGGAGTAATATACAATTGCAAAAGTGATGCAGGGTTGGTCTACTATCCTGAAAAGGACTGATGAGCAAATGATCACCGTATTATGTAATCACTGTCCGAAAATATTCGGCAATTATCCTGGCGAGGACTGCTGCGCGAACGCGAAATGAAATTTGCGGAAGTGATGGAGATCTGGTCTACTATCCTGGAAAACACTGTTGAGCAAATGATCACCGTATTATGTACTCACTATCCGAAAATATTGGGCAACTATCCTGGGAAGAAATGCTGCGCGAAAGCGTTATGAAGTTTGCAATCGTGTCGAAGATCTGGTCTACCATCCTGAAAAGGACTGTTGAGCAAATGATCACCGTATTATGTACACACTGTCCGGAAATATTCGGCAACTATCCTGGGAAGGACTGCTGCGCCAACCCAAAATGAAGTTTGCGGAAGTGATGAACCTCTGGTCTACTATCCTGAGAAGGACTGTTAAGCAAATGATCTCCGTATTAATTGAACACTGTCCGAAAATATTCGGCAACTATCCTGAAAAGGACTGTTTAGCAAATGATCACCATATCATGTGATCACCGTAAGAAAATATTGGGGATTTATCCTCGAAAGGACTGCTATGCGATAGCTAAATGAAGTTTGCGAAAGTGATGGAAATCTGGTCCTATATCCTGAAGAAGTTTGATGAGCAAGTTATCACCGTATAATGTAAACACCGTTAGAGAGTGTCTGGCAACTATCCTGAGAAGGACTGCTTTGCGATCGCGGAATAATCACTAAAAGTGATGGAGATCTGGTCTATCATCCTGAAAAGTTATAACATGTCTAGCACCTATCTCTGTTGGAAACTTCGACTCACTCTTGCAACGTGAATTTGTTGAAGGTGTGTTTGGGTTGGTGGAGAAGACAGGAGTCTGGGGTCGATTTGAAGCGGGATTGTTCACTGAGATACTCCACCAGCATGATGATATTTATCCCCATCACAAACATCAGCTGATTCTGACGAAGTGAATTAGGAGAGAGTGTGTGACGGTTGGGAAGGGTGTATGTGTGAGTTTGTGGGAGGAACGGTGCTGAAGATAACGGATGTCCTCATTGAGGAGGCATGGTCTTTTCAGTATCATGTTAAGCATATAGGTACCTATGCTTTTGCAAGACTGAAGTTGATTATTGGATAATGCATTCTTGGGCGATTGGGGGGGAATTTACCGGAAAGTCATTCCCTGTATTCATTGTACAGGGTACAATTATTCGTCCAATTATTTATCTAATAAAATCGAAAATAGTGTATTTCATATTCTTCGAAACATTTCAGATGATATCGAAGAAAGCTGCCAGTGAAATTGTGGTGAGACAAGCATTGGCAGAATTGGAACACTGGGATGTCCATTGTCGATTCTCATTGGCACTACAGAAAGATTCAAGTGGAAGAAATATCTCGTTGATACAAGATTTCAAAGAAATTCTGAATAAGGTAACTGATGAATTTAGAAGAATAGATGGATATGAATATATTGTGACGTAGCAAATGAGACATATAATTGCCTCTTTATCTCAATTCCAAACATTCTCAAATTCACAGCACATAAATTTATGGGTATACTGCAATAGCGCGCAGGGGTCAGGATTCTCAACAGGGTGTCCTCATTCCATTGTGCAGTTGCGCGCGCGTCCCAAAAATGGTATACTGTGATTGCACGCATAGTCGAAAACTATAGAAGACGGAAATTCTCAACAATTTTCTTATGTTTTGAACAAGAAATTGATCAAACTTGGGCAGTGAATATTACCTTTCCTACAAAAGAAGGGAGACTACATTTTCTCAACATTTAGACCTAGCTCAGCCTAATATGTGATATGAGGAAGAAAAAATATCATCTCTGCGCAAGGATACTCTGTTTCCTGAACAATCTCATCTTATTCGGCCCAATATATATATATATATATATATAATCATATCCCTTTTTACCCATAGGGTGTAAGGGTGCATGTTTCAGTACATTAATAATAATTATTGTTTATAAATTTCTTCCATTCCTTTCTTTCTTGTGCTAAGTCCTTAGCTTCTGGCCACGTTTTTCTTCTCTTCTTCAAAATTTTTCCAACAACATTGTCCCACGTCTGTATTGGTCGCCCTACTTTCCTTTTCCCTTGAGCTTTGGACTCCCATATCCTTTTGACCTGTGTTCCGTTTTTCATTCTTTGTAGATGTCCCCACCACGCTAGTTGTTTTTTCTCAATATATTCTTCTATCGATTCTATTTCCAATTCTTCTCTTATTACTACATTTCTGATTTTTTCTCTCCTTGTAATGCTTTTCACTCTTCTCAGATACTTCATTTCTGTTGCTCTGATTTTGCTCTTTTCTTGTTCCGTTAATACCCATGATTCACAGCCGTGCGTTAGTATAGGTCTGTAAATGGTTTTGTAGACTTTCATTTTAGTTTTTCGTGATATTTCTCTTTTATTTATGAATCCCTTATTCAATGAGTAATATACTCTGTTAGCTTTTTCTATCCTATTGCTTAATTCCACTTCGTGTTTTCCCGTTTCTTCTAGTGTTATCCCTATGTACTGAAAATTTTTAACTTGTTCTATTCTCTCGTCGTCAATCATTACTTCAATTTCTTTCCTTTCCCCTGAGATTACCATCACTTTTGTTTTTGTTTTGTTCAATTTCATGCCATACTTCATTAACACTTCCTTCCATACTCTCAAGTTTTCATTCAGATCTTTCTCGCTTCCTGTAATTATTGCTACGTCATCTGCAAACGCACATTCAGATATTCCAATCCTTTCCAAGTTTTTGTATCCAATATATAATGGTTTTGTTTTTAGTTGCGCTTCTTTTATTATTTCGTCCATCAACGTTATGAATAACAGAGGACTCAGATTACCTCCTTGTCTCACCCCCTCTTTTGTTCGGAATTCGTCAGACTTCGCGTTTTTACTGATAATTATATTTTTTGTTTCTTTGTAAATGCATTTGATTACTCTCAATAGTTTCTTCTCTACTTTCTTTTTATTTAGGCATTCCCATATTTTATTTCTTGGTACCCTGTCGAATGCTTTTTCTAAGTCGATGAATGCAAAGTAGGCTGTTTTATTTCTTGTTAGTAATCTATTTGTGACTTCTTTTATTGTGAAAATATGGTCTTGCGTACATCTTCCTTTACGGAATCCACTCTGTGATTCTGTCAAAGTTGGTTCTACTACTTTTCTTAATCTTTTCTCTATTATCTTTTCAAATAATTTCGTAATTGTGCTCAGCAGTGTTATCCCTCTATAGTTGTTGCAATCTTTGCTATCTCCTTTCTTGAATATTGGTACTATTAGCCCAACCCCCCAATCTTCTGGTAATTTTTCTTCTCTCCACACTTTATTGAATATTCCTAGTAGCATTTGTATACCACTTTCTCCCATACTTTTCACCATTTCTGCTGTGATCTTGTCGTTTCCTGGAGCCTTTCCATTCTTAAGTTCACTTATTGCCATGCTTAGTTCTTCCTTTGTTATATTTTCGTCATCTGATTCTCGTGTTTCTGTTATTTCTTCTCTTTCATTCTCCTCTAATTCTTGCTCTTCTGTCACGCGATCCGTTTCTAGTAATTTCTCGAAATATTCTTTCCATCTTCTCATTATATCTGCATTTTCTCTCAATACCACCCCATCTTCATTTTTTATCACTGCCACTTCTGTCTTTTTATTATTTCTTAGGTTTTTTAAGACTCTGTAGAACAATTTTTGGTTTCCTCTACTATCTCTTTCCAATTTTTCTCCAAATTCTTCCCACTTCTTTTGCTTCGATTCCAGTACTAAATTTTTGACTTTCATTCTGCTTCTCTTATAGGTTTCATAATTTTCTTCAGATTTGTTACTTAAATATTTTTGCCATTTCTCCTTTTTGCTCTTAATTTGTTTTTTGATTTCTTCTGTCCACCATGCAGTTTGTTTCTTATTTTTATTTTTCTTACATGTTCCACATATATCTTTAGCTTGTATTATAATGTTTTTAAATTCTCTCCACGTTTCTTCAATACCCATGTTCTGTATAACGCTCTCTAGTTTTTGTATTTCGCTTTCTATTCTTCTTTGGTATCGTTTGGCAACTTCACTGTTCTTCAATTTATATGATCTAATAGTTTCAACATCCATTGTTTCTTCTTTTTGTACTTGTCTTATTTTTTGTTCTTCTTGGGTTGTTTCGATTTCTGCCACCACTAAGTAGTGATCACTGTATATTTCATATCCTCTTTTAACTGCTACATTATTTATTAGTCTTCTATTTTTTCTCTCAACTAATATGTAGTCTATTATTGACTTCTCTCCTCTGCTCGATTCGACTCTCGTGTATTTATGTATATCTTTATGTTTGTAAAATGTATTAGTAATTAACAGGTCATGTAACGCACAAAATTCTATCAGTCGCCTGCCATTATTATTCCTCACGTCTTCTCCATACTCCCCTATAACTGAATATGTGTGATTTGATTTTCCTACTCTGCCATTCATGTCTCCTGCTATAAATATGCTTCCTTTTGCCGTTTCGACAGTGATATTCAGATCTTCCCAGAATCTTTCTTTAATTTCACTTTTCTCATCTTCAGAGGGTCCGTACACTGCTATTATTGTTTTGATATCCTTTTCATAATTTAATTCTACTGTTAAGATCCTTTCGGATATTGCATCCCATTTGCACAAGTATTCTTTGATGCTTTTATGTAATATGCATCCTATACCCGCTTGTGCTCTCTTATTTTCTTCTATCCCGCTCCATATTAATAGGTGTTCGTTTTCCATTTCCATTGTTCCGTTCCCTTTCTTTTTTGTTTCTGGTATTACTAGAATTTCTAGTTCGGCTTTCTCAAATTCGTTTATCAACTCAATTTCTTTACCATTCAGGCTTCTTATGTTCCATGTCCCTAGCTTACAAATATTCTTCTTATTATTTATATTCCTAATGTTTTCAACATCTCCTCTATTCATCTGGCTCTTCTCTTTTCCTGAATCATTAACGTTTTCATCGCCGTAGTCATCATTGTATGTCCGTTTCTTATTTATCATCATCAGTTTTTTGTCACCCGTGTGCTCTTTTTGCTATTTTCTTTTCCATCACCTCCATTTGGGGACCTTTCGCTTGTGGTTCTTTTGCTTCTATTTGTTTCCATCTGTCCCTCGTCTCCTTCACTGATATTTTTCATATCTTCGGCATTGTATGTCTTATCATCGATTACTAATTTATTATGTCTTAGTTGTGCTTTGTGTCCCTGTCTTCTCGCTTCTTTTAAATGTGGAATCAGTATTTTCCTATCTTCTTGCGTTTCTTTTGTGTAGTCCTCTTCAATCCATATATTACTTCCCTTCAGTTCCCTGGATTGTTGGAGTATTTGCATCTTCTTGTTTCCTGTTATCAGCTTGATCAATATCGGTCTCTGCTTTCTGCCCTCGTATCTCCCTAGTCTTCTTATTTCATCAACTTCTGTTTCCATATTTACGTTAACTCTAATCTTTTCCATTACTTTCCTTATATTTTCTTTCGTCTCTTCTCGGCCCAATATATACTAGGAGAATTTGAAAAAGGAGAATATCCTTTCTGCATGATAGGAGGAGACCGCTTTTCCTAGACAGTCTTGCCTGATTTAGGTGTAGTTGATGGTCTATTACGTAATATGTGTTGTAAGAAGCATTTTACGTGCGTTTCCATGAGTGCAAAATTGCTTTATAACACGCATTACGTACTATACTTCACCTGAAAATTGTTTTATCCGTCATTCGGTTGTCCCCTTACGAGCAACCCTCAGAAGTCTTCGAGAGTCTTGTGCGAGCAAGGAATATCGGGGGCCTTACCTTTTAACGTTGATCCCAAACACTCAAACTACTCAAATACTGCCATATAGTACTACTCAACTACTCAACCTACTGCCATATAGTACATCAGAAAAGTTTGGACAAACAGTCGGAATTATAATTCTTGCCAGTTATTTCATCCGCTGTTGACGGTGATTACGCGATCATGACTGGCGAAATGAACGAAAACCTGTGCACTGTATCCCCTGTGCATACAGAGCTATTCACTGAGGCTGTATCTCGTGTGTTCTTGCCCAGTTTTTATAGTGGCCGTAGGTAATATCAATTATATGAGCCATATAATTTTTCGAATGGTCGGTATTTTTATATAATATGTTATTTTCCTATAGATATCTGTATTGAAATGGTCTTCAACCAATGAAAATCAACGGAATATATAATGATAAAGATGGAAAACCCTGATTTCGAGTGACAATGGAAAATGAGAAAACTCCACCCTGGTGAGAGCCGAACTCACAACTTCTTAGTTACATGCCCAACGCTCTGCCAGTTGAGCTAACGGGACATCCGTCGATCAATCGGCAGGAAGGTCGAGTTCTCATCACACACCAGGCGGCAGAATTCTTTCAATCCCCGAAGTCACTCGAAACTATGCACTATACTGTCTCCATATTGCCCTTTTTGTCCTCTGGTATTGTCTTGCCTTGTATACGGAGATTTCCGAAGGCAAAGGAGTCAGTTATAATTTGAAGACTGTTCTGCCAGCGATGCTTCGTATAGTGCATGATTTCGAGTGACTTCGGGAATTGAAAGTATTCTGCCACCTGGTGTGTGATGAGAACTCGACCTTCCTGCCGATTGATTGACAGATGTCCCGTTAGCTCAATTGACAGAGCGTTGGGCATGTAACCCAGAGGTTGTGAGTTTGAGTCTCACGAGCGGTGGAGTTTTTTTATTTTCCATTGTCACTCGAATTTATGCCTTTCCATCTTCATTATTATCATTATGTATTTTTTCGGTTGAGTAACCGACAAAAAATATTACTGACCTCTATGTATAATCACTCTCGGACATTTTCGTATACAAGGAAAGACAATGCCAGAGGACGAACGTGGAAATATGGAGACTGTATAGTACCATCCTGCCAGCGATGCTTCGTATAGTACATGATTCCGAGACACTTCGGGAATTGGAAGTATTCTGCTGCCTGGTGTGTGATGAGAACTTGACCTCCCTGCCGATTGATCGACGGATGTCTCGTTAGCTCAATTGGCAGAGCGTTGGGCATGTAACCCAGAGGTTGTGAGTTCGACTCTCACACAATGCGGTGGAAATTTTTAATTTTCCATTGTCACTCGGAATTAGGGCTTTCCATCTTCATCATTATATGTATCTTCTCGGTTGAGTAATCGACTATATCATAACTGACTTCCATATGCGTATTATTAATCAATACGGATAATCTCTATCTGTTTCCATAGCGAAACATGAAGCCGATTTTTGAAGACAAATGACTATCCATAAGGAAAAGTGAGATACGATCAGACACATACTGCTTTGATTGAAAGGCTAGTAAACGTCATTGTCCACCGAAACGCATGTCTTTGATGACTACTATAATAGCGCATGGCGCATGCGTATCATGCCACCAAATCCTTATGGATATTAATTTGTTACATTTTTTGTCTTCATCCTGGCACCCGTTATGATCCGTATTGTTTATTAATACGTATATTCTGACTCCTATAACCAAGATATAACTAAGAAAATTGGTCTTGGTGTTCGACTACCTGCCTCAATCCTTTCGTAGCGCGCAATCACAGCATCCATCTTGGGACAAATTCCACTCCCCCATGAGATGTTCAACCGCTGCACTCAATCACAATATACCGAAATCGATATTGGCGCGACCTCTTGTTCAATGGGAAGCTGATTTTGAATTCTATATATTTCATCAGTTTTGAAATCATTCATTCAACCATGTATAACAGAGTGGTACCTTTTTTGTTACTAATAATCGAAAATGGCCAAAGTAGCTGTAGCTTGAATTGAATAGGTCAATTTTAGCGGAATTCATAAAAGTGCTACTATCTCAAAAACAAAAATTTTTACCTGAGGTCATTCAGTTCGAATGATGGTTTCATTGGCTACCCAAATAGGCAACTTTGGTAGGACATGAGAAATACAGTTTGTATAATATGTATCAGATGAAGACTAGATAATGATTTTCTGACATTCTTATATTTACAGATCGGTGACAATCAAAGTCTTCTGCAGTCGCTGAAGAACTCTGTCGATTCAGACACCTTCATTGAGAAAGTAACGATGTGGGAAACTAAATTCGGTGATCTGGACCATCATTTAGTTTCACTAGCTCAGATACAGAGAAAGTAAGACTCTATCACGAATCATGTAGAATTGAGAAATTAGTAAAAAAAAACTGTGATTCAGCATATTATATAACTTAACTAGTAGGGAAAATTACATTTTGCACGCATACTTCTTGATCGGTTGCGAATGCTGCAACGTGGCATTTCTAAGATATTCACGCACGACTTTTGATTTCACATCGATATCACGTGAAGTACTATGACTTCTTCCTCTGATGAATGCTTTAGTGAAATCAACTACTCTTCTTGATAAAAAGCAATCCGTTGTTATTCACAATGATATAATTCCCAAGCTACTATATATTAGTTTCAAGATATTTAAAAAATGACAATTTTGATCACACATTCATTTTATTTTCTAGACAACTCATGTTCATCATCTTAGCTTCATTTATATTCATCAAATTGTTTAGGTACAACAAGAATAAACCAGGCCCAAGTTAGGACCCTTGAGGTATACCCATATTCATTTTCCAATTCTCTACCTAGTAACGGCCTGATGAATATGGGCTGAGTTAGTAATACTTTTTTCAAATCATAGCTAGAAAGCTTTCGCTTATCAAATCTCATTACCAGCTAACAACTTTTATATCTATTCACATATTCAACGCTAGAATCATTCTGAATTGAAGAAAATATTCAGGTATCATGTGACCTATACTTAATCTTTGACCACTTCATTTCAGATGGTTGTATCTAGAACCAATATTTGGCAGTGGAACTCTGACACAGGAAAAATCGAGATTTGACAGAATCGATCGAGATTTTCGTCACATTTTGAATTTCATTGAGAAAGATCTAAGAGTTGCAGCTTTGTGCCGTTATGCCAATCTTCGATCGTTATTAGATTCGAATATGGATCAGCTATCCAGATGTCAGAACAGCCTGGATAACTTCTTAAAGGTACTATGAATACTATCAAGCAACATCAAACTGTTTGAAATTTGTTTATATGTGATACCACAAGTGATATTATATCGCTGGAAACATTTGGCGATTGTTACGACAGCATGTTGCTTGAAGATTTCGCGAATGACATTGTTTATCAAATCTTTCAAGCCACAGGCGAGAAGTCTTGAATCAATGTCATGAGCGAAGTCAAAACAGAAAGCTGGAGTATGTCAATCGACCAATATTTCCAGGAAAAATAGTATCACGAGTTGAATTTGTATTAATTTTCAACATTGAGACAAAAAACGAACGCCTCGCGAGAGTTGCGCATACTGCATTCATCATTCTGGCTTCCAACATAATTGACGTTCTGAAAAACGAGGTTTTGGTAGAGCAGGTCTGATGAAACTAAGCAAACAAAGAACTATTCTTGACGGGTGATCTCGAAACTAAGAATCGAAGGGATGGAACAATCGAGAAACTTTCTTGCGCATTTTGTTCATTTCCTCTTGATTCTTTTTTTCAACCTCTTGGAGCGCACCACAAGAAATTCCACGATAAATGCATTCGTATTATTATCTTTAACTCATTATCATGTAGATATGTCCTTTGATATTATTCTGGAAGACATATTCGGCGATTACCTTTGATAGGATAAGTCCTAAAGTTTTTTTCGAATAAATTTTTTCTCATGCTCACCTGCCCAAGAGAAGTTCATTGTAGCATTAATTCCGAAGTTAGTGCTGATGTTCCTACGGCATTATCGCTTTTCTATTCATCATCTTCAATTCTTTTGAATTCTAGATCAGATTCCGTGTGGAATAATACTTGTATTCATCCTGATACTTCCCTATCAGTAAATCAGGATTCCGGGTACAAAACTTGTAGTGAAAAAAAAAATAAATCACCATATTCCCCGTATTTGATTTTTTCTCTGTTCTACGTATTTATGAAGTACTCACAATAAGAGATATAAGTCAGTTGATCCAATAGTCGTCATTGAGTGATCGCGACTTGAATGCTAGTTGGGCGCAATTCGCAAATAACATCATCATAAAAATCACAAATACACTTAATGAATCCTGAAAGCTCAAAGTGGTTTCCACAAATGTTTATAAATGAATGAAACTGGTAGATATCGAGAGTAAAACGAATACTTTCCTGACTGTATGTCACGCAGAACATTCAATTACATCCTCCCGAAATCTATTCAACGATTGGTATAGACAAACAAAATCTCTAGTGCTGAAATGTGCCTAAATTGTTCAGGAACGCTTGACTACCTGCAGACTGATTTTTGTGGAAGTGGCTTCGAGCTCTGAGTAGTTATTCAACATTTCTTCCATTTTGAGCATTTTGGCTTTTTCTCAGTTGCAAATACGCTCATAGAAACTTGAAACCACGTATACAAAATTGTAGTAATATTTGTTACAAAATAATTTCTGATCTCTACAAGCGATACAGAATTTTTTTGTCTAGATATAACCTCATCGGGCCACAAAAACTAGAGTTACTGGATGTTATTAGTTAGGAAAGAGTTCGGACACAGAAATGACAAGTGTTAGTGTTTTTGAATATTTTGATTGACACCTTGCATTGTGACAACAGCATTATTGTCCGATTGTCCCCGAATTCTCATTTGACATTGTTAGAATTTGTTAATTAATTCCATGAACGTCAGAATTGAAATAAAATCTCAAAAACAATTGAGATAAAAGCATAAATGAGAATGTCCCAGTATGTAATGAGTTGCGGCAATTCTAAAGGGAATAGCAATATCCTTTCTTCAATTTTCCAAACGAAACATCAACAATTCCCTTATGGAATGAATGTTTGAAACGATCAGGATGGGAAATCAATCTGTGAGGTGAGTACATACATTAAAAGTCACTTCTTATAACGGCAGATTGGAACAAAACTATATTTTAGGCTCATTTTCGAACAGAAGATTTATAAGATTCGTTGTTGTATTGATTTACATAAAATACTAACGAGAGAGTTATTTAAAAATTTTTTTAAATAACATTTTTATCATATAAACAGTAAGTTTCACTCATATTGATATTTTTTCAAAAAAATTTTTCGCTGTTCCTTTTCCAGATCATGGAGCAATGGCTCTTGCTTGCTCCGTTAATGCTTATTGTATACATATTGCAACAATTTTCACTTCCATGTAAGTAAAATATTACTGTATCATACCATAGGTCAAATCTGTCCTTTTTTAGAACTTTACATTTTCTTGGCTGATGATGGGCTTATATAAGCCCGAAACATGTTCCCTTATATGATCTAGGATCATTAAATAAAAGTTGTGGAGATGACTTTGGGTTTTCATCTATGAACTACACCACTCCACTTTGAGTTACCATGGACTTCTTCCAAAGATAGAACTACGTTTAATGAAATCGCAAATTTGATAACTAAACTGAGGAAATATTGAATGGCGCTTTCGATACTGATCAAATCAAAAAAATATCAGTAAAAAGTGAATGCAGCAAAAGGCGTGAAATCAGAACAATCTTCTTGTTTTAAACTTTCTGTCATTTTCCTACGTTACCACGACACCATGTGCGAAGCAGTGCGCGAAGTAAAGAGATGCCCGAAGTAAAGAGATGCCCGAAGTAAATAATTCGCTCATTGTATGTAAACTATATGAGCTTTTTGTAATTGAACTTCATTATCCTTAATCGAGCGAACATCCAAGAAATCATTCATTTCTGAATCATCAACAATAATAAAGGCCTTTTGAGCCAGTTCAACACTATTCTTTATATTGAGCTGAGCAAATTACTAGTTAAAAACTATATTCTTTGACATTCAAAATGAACAACAATTCCTACCTTATTACCTTGGTTCACACGATGTTCTCTGAACATTACAGGATATCCCTTCCCGTGGTAACCAGAACATAAAGAAAAAATCTGTATGAAAAATTTATTTTGCCACTCGTGTGCGGAAAACTTTAGTCATCTCGACTATTTTTTTCAACTTGGATGCACCTCGTCAATGTAGCATTTCGCGTATTAGATTCAAAAATAACTATTCTCAAAAATATCACTACAATTTTGTGTGAGTCGTTTCAAGTTTCCATGAGTGTAATAGCAGATCAGTGTTGAATCAATGTCGTGAGCAAAATCCGAGTAGCAAGATGAAGTATGCCACTAGACGAACATTTCTAAGGAAAATGGTGTGACCATTTTATAATTTCATAATACCATGTTCAAGTTTCGAGCAAAATTGTCTTCTCATTCTGAATGGCCTAATGGATGTCAGACGATTGTCACGTATAGGCCAATTCGGCTTTTCTATTGGTCGGGTAGGTTCGATGAAAGAGAGCAATTCCACGACCTATATAGCACGGGTTGAGTTGAAGAACAGCTTTATGCTGATTACTTCGCCTATATGCAATTGCAGTTGAGTCTAAATCTCTATTTTATTTTGTTAGTTTGTTTATTGTTATTCTGCATATGATGAATGATCTGACTGAAAGGATTCACTGAGAGTGAACTGAGTCACTTCACATGCGTTCTTTCGAAAGATGAATCCTAATAAACGGGATGATAGTTCCAGGAAGGTCGTGGACTATTTTCAATTTGCGCTCATAATTCTATCTGAAATTCTTTTAGACATCTAGAACTAGAGCGAATTCTTTTGAGGCCAAGCGATTAGAGTCCATTGATTTCTGACGAAATTACTATCATTAGAATCGCAAGCACTTGAGGTTCTACGCCGAAAGTATCAACAAACGTTATTTCACTAAAATTTCAGAATCAACATTTCGGCAGTTTATTTCAAATTATACATACAAAGACATTGCATTTGCTGATTGTTGAATATGTCATGAGAACTCAAGCATTGCAGAGATGTGCTGAGTGCTGACAAAAAGTGTTTCGAGCTATAACCACTACGCTTTTGAAAAGTGCTATTATTGGCAAAACTCTCGCGATAACTAGGCACTTTTGAGAGGATGATGAGTTGCAGTTAGATATTCATTCTAAATTTTCCTTTTTGTCAACTCAACCAATGTTCTAATTCCGCCAATGAAATCACCAATGATTGAATCTAGTCGATAAGTATCCAGTGTTTTGCTCTACAACTTACGACCACCCATTTCCCAGCCTGACCGCTTGCAACATAAATTTGGATGAAACCGTGTAACCTTCGAAATATTTCTGAATTGAATAGGCGCCAGCATAGCTCTTCTTCTCTGTAATCGAGCCCATCCTTTCAAAAAAATCATATAACTCTGAAACAACACTTGACGCTCATGAAGGGGTCACATGATTAGCCTTCCAATAATGAATAGTGATATTGTGAAAACAAAATATTTCTTACATCAATATAATTTGCTTTCAATTCGATAATCGAATGATTGGCAGTTCATTGTTTCGGGCATTAATTCTTTCTTCCAGAAAAATGGAGTGAGTTAAAGATTGTCAAGGACTATTGAAGACATATCTACTTAGTATATATACTTACCCCCAAGTAGAGTTTTTTTCAACTACAGGGCATTGAAATACATTACATCAAGGGCGAGATACTCAGTACTCAATATCTCAATTCGCCTATGATGATAATGTTCTCAATTTGAAGTATTCGTTCTTCTTGTCACTACCTTGGATTAGTAGTTTACATAGGCCAATAATTTACACCGTGGCGTCAATGAATAAAGGTTCACGAATCACGAAATGAAGATAAGAAACCTTCATTTTTTCAGATGAATTGGCTAGAGTTCCTAATAATTTTGAAGCATCAAATGAAATTATACGAATCGGATAAATACATATACACCGTGTCCAAGATGGGGATACGAATACATTCTTATCTTGGACACACTGTATGCGCAATACGATCTATCACTGACATAACTGTGTGAATACAAGCTTTTACCGATATAGTGAATAGTGAGGGAGTTTGAAAATACGAAATTTCACCCGAATTGAAAAAATTTCTGATACATTACCGGTTTACCCTGAAGCAGTTCAACTGCTTGTAGTTCTCCGACATATCCTATGCTTATTATGTTCATATCAACAAATATGCTGCTTGAATGCTCCAACCACTCCACTTCTTGAAAAAAAACATTATCACCCTGTAAGGAAGGTTCACGAGCTGCTGCGGGCTACTATGTCCTTATTTATCAGGAATCCGTAGGCGACTTACGATTCTGATGGAACCAGTGTTCATGAGTAAGTGAGATGACTCACTGTGATGAACGAATATGGCAAAGATGGTAAATGAAGAAGGGATGGAACTCAAATTATCATTCCAAGATTCAAATAATCATATTTTGAATTCAATCTATCTACTAAAATCTTGTTCCATTTGAAATATATTAGGTAGGTTCTTTGAACGAAGAGAGTGATTTGGAAAGGTGAGCTATTCCACGTCAAAAACGTTACCTTTTCAAGATTAGCAGATGACATCTCGTGATTGGAATGTTTCATTCAACAGTTATAGGATTTTCCTGAATAGAGACTTGTATAACTGAATTCTTCTCGGTGCTACTAGGGAGTATTTTTCGAGATCACTCAACTTTAAGCCTCTTCCTAAGATAATCGAAGCACTAAGCACTGAGCACTGATTCAAAAAAGTGCTCGGGAGCACAAAAGTGTTCTATGCTTTGAGACAGCTCTGAGCAAATTGTCAACAATATTGTCTGAATGGTCTAATCCATATAGAAAATCATCTTTCAGTCTGCCTCTGATACAATTGGACAATTCCAAGAAGGAACATATTGTTGATGAATCTATTTTCGATTTTCGAGGTTCGACAAAACCAAAGCTGACTAAGTGATGTGAACGGGGCTACATTGCATACCGCATTCCATGTTTAACGAAATATTATATCATATTTTAGGAAAAACGTGATAAGTTTCCGAGATTTCTCTTCCTAAGCGACGATGACCTATTGGAAGTTGTCGGTCAGTCCACCAAAGAACACGTAATACAAACACATTTGAAGAAGATATTCGTCGGTATAGACAGTACAAAACTCTCATCGAGTGGACAGGACATAATTGCCATTTGTTCTTCGGATGGAGAGACCGTGAATCTGTCTAATCCGGTCAATATCCAGAGACCAGTAGAGGTAAAGTTATAATTATGTAAATATATAAATGATTCTTCGGTCGATAAAATGATGAATGACTAAATGCAGAACGAACTGAGGCCGTGATTCCCTTACCCCTGACTCCTGGTTAATTCATCAAAGAATTATATTTTTATTATTGCCTGAACATGAACAGCGCACTTCCTGGTTAGAAAATTTCCTTATAATAGTATATTTTCATATGTTTATCTTTTATCCAAGAATTTCAAGGCATAGTAGATTTTTCATGAATGAAATGGGGATCGAAATATGCGTGCGCAAAGTCACACTTTTTTGAACGCTCAACTCTCTATGTTGAGAAATGTTCTCGAAGTTTAACACGTTGACTGCCGGGCTCATATCCACACTGTGGATATCAGAGCGGAAGCAATATTCAAAAATTTGTCCCAGAAACCATCAGTGACCCTTTGTAGCTGAAGCCTACAGAAGATAGTAAATCGTTGACCTTTTTGATAATTGGAACCCTGGACCAAAAAACTCAAAAATTCCAGCTTGGTCTTATAGACCGACTCGGCAGTCGTGTATATATGTATACCTTTGTACGCCGTCTCGGTTCGGCAGCTCGGTCCAGCCGACTTCGGCCTCGGTCTAGTGGTCTAGCGCTGTACAAAATACTTGTCTCAACTTGCTTTTCGAATGTGTCATGTATCCCGATTGTTCTACACTCTGGTTGAAAAAGCCTCTCATTGTTCATTTTATGTTCGGGATCATGAGAATTCTCTGAGTCAGAGATCGTATGAAAAACGTATACCTTGCACTAAGTCTTACTAGAGAATGAAGGAAGAATCAAAAAGAATACGCAGCTTCTGTAAAGTATGTCCTGAAGAACCTCTATCTTGCCTGGATTGTTGTAGTTGTGATATTCGATTGTATTTCCTAAAGAATCACACATTTCATCGACTGAATGAACGTTAATTTCACAGTATCGGCCTACCAAATATTCTGTGTTCAAACTGATTTGCCTGCCCCGCCGACTCGGTCTGTATGTCTGATGAAGATAATTTGCAATGCAAAAGTGTCACTGACGTTTTATTGACAATAATTCAGACCGACAACTTCACGAGTCGTTCAAATGACTCGGTCTGATATCTCGAGTCGGCCTGGTGTATCAACCTCAATCCTGTTCTATGAGACCGAGGCCGCACATCAGGATATTTTTTTCTTTGTCCTTCAGACCGATATGGCAGTCAACGTGTTGAATAAACATGAACTTGACTCAATATCTCAAGCTCACATTGTTTTCGAAGCAGCAGAATGTGTGATACCGACCGAAAGATGTTAAACTCTTCACAAAGGCGAAGTTCCCAGATTTATGAAAGAAGTACTTGATCAAAACTTTCTGGGATTCGTCAAAATATTTGGGTTGGCCAGTGCTTTTATATTTTTGTCGTTGATGATTTGAAGCTCGTAGGCAAGCTGTTGTCCCTAACACGTGCGCAAAGTGCTTTTTCCGCACGCAAAACTTTATACGAACTCTGCGTCGCGTCGTTCGCCTCACTGTCAATTTTCAGGAAGATGTATACCATGTGGTCATTTGGTTGTGCAACATATGGGGATATTTTCAATGAATTGCACAACCAAAATACCCATAAGGCCGTAAGTTGGTGCATGTTCAGTCATCATTTAAGGTTCACCTCAAATGGTTGCAGTTCAAACAGCATACAGGGTAGGTAAAAATATATAAAAATTGTTCATGAGTAAAGTACCCTTACTTCAGAAGATTCAGCGAAATGCTAATTAGAAAAGTTGTTTGCAATTGAAAGTTATGCCAAAATACCCAAACACCCAATCTGTAATTTTTTTATAGGTATTCACCCTAAACACTTCAATAACTTAATCATAACATAATCAGTTGATCATATCTTCGTTCAAATTCAAGCATATTTGTGGAATTAACTGTTTGTTGCAACGATATTTAGCTTAACTATGAAATTTCGTGAACCATATTTTCAACTAGGTAAAACATCATTATTGATGATTTTGTATACATTTTAAATTCAAAATGTTCATGGAAAAGATGTACAAATCAATCGAAAACCATGATATCATTTGAAATAATCACGAATACCCAAGAAACAAAACAAATGAGGGTTGACAGTGAACATTAAGACAATTTGGTGACATTAACTTCTCATCGAATGATGTTTCACCATGTTGAAAATATGGTTTGCGAAATTTTGAAGTTAAGCTGAATATCTTTGCAACAAACATAGAGTTCATGATTCCTCAAAACAGTTTGAATCCAAGTTGATTGCACAAATATTCTTAAATTTGAACACAGGTATTCTCAACTGATGTTGTTATGAAAAACTCATGAAAGTGTTCAGGGTGAATAATTAAAAAAAATACAAATTGGGAAATTATCAACGAAGAGAACTGAAAAATGTCTTAGGAGGCCATGCTTTGGTATTTATGCATAACTTCCAATTGTTGACAACTTTTATCGATAACGTTTGACTGAATTTTCTGAAATGAGGGTACTTTACTCTTGAGCAATTTTAAAATTTTTTGACCTCTATTCTGTATGTTGTTCGACTTGCAACCATTCTGAGTGCACCTAAAATGATTACCGAACATGCACCAACTTTCAACACTATCTGTATTTTTGTTGTGCAATTCATCAAAAAGATTCGCATATGTTGCACACTTAAATGACCACACTATACAAAGAAAATCTATGTTTTTTTTGTGACAATTTTTTGGCCCATTCAATATGTAGCTGCTGATACCCGTGAAAAATCAAATTTCATCTGGCGGTAAATTTTCTGTTATGTATTTCTGCTGAAATAAACCATATTCCAGATCTGTTATTGATGAATACGAATAACACGTAAAATTGCAAATCATTTTGTCAATCTCACAGCAAGTTGCTAGATTATCATAAACCATAATGGAGTGCAATTCATGAACCATGTTTGATATCGTTCGAGTTTCTCAGTGAACTTCTTTCAAGAACAACACTGGAATTGATTCGAAGAATATTTCATACAATGAAGACATATTGCAATTTTTTTCTTCGATTCAATTCAAGTGTGCGTTATTTGGTTCGATATTCACTGTTACATTTTCCCTAACGTTTGTAGGACTGGTTGAACGATCTGGTCAAACAAATGCAGGTGACTCTGAAGGAACTGCTGGTCACTTGCCAGAGAGAAAAGTCATCTCCTGACCCCCTGTCGTATCCCTCCCAGATACTTTGTTTATCTGATAGTATCACGTTCACTGCTAGATGCGAACAAGCTATTTCCAGCATGACTATACCACCTTTATTAGCGAAATACAAAGTGAGTATATCTTACTATCAAGTATAGTTTTTGTAAAGGGATATGTTTCGGAGTATCTGAGCACCTTCATTTAAATATAGAAGTATAGATGTATATGATGAGCGAATTCACCCTACCAATTCTATTACAGACGCAGCTGGACCATTACAGTTCTCTAGAGCTCAACCAAGACATTGAAAGCTCAAAAGGCGGAAATGTATTAGAACTCAAACTCAAAGCCCTATTACTCGACACAATTCATCATATATCTGTACTTGAAGAACTCTTAAATGAAAATGTCACTAAGGTTTCGGACTGGACTTGGCAGAAACAACTGAGGTAGGTACCTGCATGAAGTGAATCACAGTTGGAAGTTCGAATGTTAAGGCGTTCTAGGAAATATTTCAATTGATATTGGAAAACATAGGAAACATAGGAAAAATCATTGCACGCTTCTGTTACTTGTTCAATATTTTCCTCTCATCTTGAGCAATCCAAAATGAATTTCATTGGTCTCCTCATAGTTTTCCATATTTAGCATTGTTTGTGAGAATTGAAATTAAAAAGAGTTTTCTTGTCTCTACGCCTTCAAACAATTTGAGAACCACTGAATTATCAATAATGAAGATGATAATCGTGATGAAAATGATGTCTTTATTGTACAACAAAATTCGTGAATGCCTACAAATAGTAATTAATAATACAAGGGAAAAAAGTAGTTGATTCAAGCTGCAGGTTGTGTTGTCACAAAAAACAAAAAACCTTGAGCTATAATTTGAAAATTTTTCCTTGCATAATTCAATATTTCTCTCATGTGACAGGAAGGAGGAGTCATTGAGATAATATTACATAATATTTAAATCAGAGAATTACCGACGTGAATTTTGAAGTTCTCAATAGCAATGACACTTGCATTGTAGGAATCTTTTTGCAGATATCTTTATCATTCTCTTGGAGGTATCGGATATCTTTCAGTCTAATTTTGTTATTCGATTTTGTTTAATTGCGAATCAAGTGGTTGTTCAGTAATTTATGAAACCGCGAAGTCGAATGGTAGATAATAATAGATTTTTCAACGAGCACGAAATGATAGTGATTTCCTACTCATTCGAGTGAAAAATTAGCATCTCGTGCGAGTTATACACTATAATTTTTTCACGGCTGTAACAGATAACAGCGGCATTTTTTATTTCTTCGTCTTGTAGGCATCTGATTTCCTCTCAAGTAATGCTCATTCATGAGACAGAGCTGTCATTGCTTAAAATTCGACATTTCATGAGCGATCAGACGATTTTGAAACACAATGGAGTCATTGTGATATCAGATACGGAAGTATAATTGATGACATACAAAATATTGCCGATATCGGGCCAATATAGAGCCAATATCCAGCCAAGATTCGTGCTACTGGGATTATGGTTTTGACGAAATTGGCATTTTAGTAATTTTAGAACATAAACAATACTTATTGAAATACAAACTTTGTCAGAACCATGAGAGTGAATCTAGTGTTATCAAGGGTACTTTTTTGTAGAAAATGAGTACCCAATCCAAATTTCATACTCAAACCCCTTTTCTGCCATTGGCGTAGAATTCTTGATGGTGCAATTATTTGAAAATTCAAGTTCTACGCCAATGGCAGAAAAGAGGTTTGAGTATCCCTTGATAACACTCGATTTACTCTCATTGTTTTGACGAAGTTTGTATTTTAATAATTATTTTTTATGTCATAAAATTACTAAAATGCAAATTTCGTCAAAACCGTGAGAGCAATCGAGTCTTATCAGGAGTACTTTCTCTATAGTAAATGAGTTGCGCAATCTAAATTTTATACTCGAACTCGTTTTCTTTCATTAGCGTAGAATTTTTAAAGGTGCAATTATTTAAAAAATCAAGTTCTACGCCTATGTATTATTATCGGACATAATTTTAACACCATTTATTTTGCCACCAAAAATTCTATCAATATACCAAATTCTAGCAAAATCAGATATGTCGTTTAAAATTTATATGGGAAAAACGATTCAAAAATTGTAACTTCAAGGCCCTCTGGAGCCCAAACGATGCAACTCTGTACTGAGGTAATTTTATTTGAATCGACTTATTTTAGTCTGAGGAATATGTGGTATGTCTTTGTGAAGACCTTTTACAGACACCCTGTATTTCATCCAGATATGAGTTTCAACATGAATCACCAAAAAATCAATGAAAGTTGTTGCTGATCAAAATTACAGAGAGAAATTCCGGAACTATTTGAAAATGTTATCAAAACAATTTCCAGAAATATGTCTTCCAAATATGGGTAGATAGATGATCATTGAATATTTGACGGTGTAATATCCAACACCAACATAATTGAATCGACATCACGTATGTGTTCTGTCACGCTTTGTTACTAACCCCAAATGTCACCTTTTTATCAATTATACATCTTCAGTTTTTTATTGGAAAAAATGTTTTTTCTAGATATTATGCAAATTCTGTAGGAGAGGTAACAGTTAAAATGGCTTTAGCCAGAATGGAATATAGTTACGAATATTTGGGCAATGCTCCCAAACTGGTGAGAACGCCATTGACAGACAGATGTTTCCTTACTTTAACCCAGGTGAATATAAACAGACAACATTATAATATTCAAGATTATTATCTACCACTCCTTTTGTGTCTTCAGGGAATCCACTTGGGAATGGGTGGAAATCCATACGGACCTGCTGGAACAGGAAAAACAGAATCAGTCAAAGCTCTCGGAGGTCTATTGGGAAGACAGGTTTTGGTCTTCAATTGTGATGAGGTATTGTTATTATCAAAACTCACCTATGCACATTGAAATACAATACATGTCGAAATTACGTGATCACTGATGATTTATATCAATTTTCAAATAGGAAAGTCAAGGAATAATGAATCTGATAGCGATCTATTTCGAGTAGGTATATTTTGCATTTTGGCTCCAGCAGGCTTCTTTGTCGTAAGATTATCAATGAGAATCTTGTAATTCGAGAAGTCACAGTAGTCATGGCATTTCATATAGTGAGAAGCTTACACCAAAACAGCAGAAAATATTCTAATTTCAATCAGGAACTGAAACAAACGCAAGGTTTTTGACATTTTGGTTTCTGTTCTTATTGAATAGCCATAGCCTACTAGGTGATGGTCAGACACAAAAAATATAGTTCAAAATCCTGAATTCCAATTCCGATTCTGGAAATGATAATTATATCATCATGATAGTCATAGCCTACTAGGTAATAATCAGACACAAAAGATAATAGTTGAACATCCTGAATTTCGATTTTGTTTTTGAAATTAATCATAGGTCGGTATACAATATAGGGTTTTTCATTTGGAACAGGAAGAAGTAGTGGAAAATGGAATAAAAACGTGTGTTGATGAATACACAACATAGAAAATATGAGTACCTGCGTAATCAGTACATTCTATATTTTGTATTTATCAACACACTTTTATTATGCATGTTATTCTCTACGTCCTTCCAGTTTGACTATCTATAGAAGGTTGTTATTGAATTCCCCATCTTGCCTCTTTTTTTTAATGAAACAATCTTAATCGCCAACCTTGAGAACCCCTAGATACAAAATTTGAGTGAAGTCAGATCCATAGACATTACTACTAATATTTGGTACTGAAATTGAAAGATCAGACCCAAAAATGTTCTAATAGGTACAATAGCGTTGTCATTGTAGTATTCTTGTCTTGCCCCTCGCTCAACATTCGCGACTGAAAAAAATAGTGTGAACAGTTCACAGCGTTGCCATCTTCCGAGGTAATCTCTTTGTTACTTATTGGAAACTTTGGAAGTATGTTTGATTGTGAACAAATAGTGTTCAATAAATGAAATGTTATGTCTCCCTTCTTCTTATATGTCTATGATCGGATCATGATTTCAAAACTCGTCCGCCATATTGGATCGCTATCTTGAATTTTTAAAATTTGACGGGAGTATTGCAAAAATCGTTCGCCATGTTGAATCCGCAACTTCCAATTCACCAATTATGAGGAAAAGATTACAATCTTCGACTAAGAAAATCCCCATTCAACAATTTTTAAAAGAATCGAATTATTATTACAACACTCGTCTGCCATACTGAGTTTTTGCAAATTTCGAAATCATAATTTCCGATCCCGAAAACCAATTAATAGCTATGAATTTCGACCATTATCGGATCTTGATAACAAATTTCATTCGTTGTATTTGATTCGCCATCTTGAATCTTCTAATTTTGACAAAAGAATCATAATCTCCGATCCCGAAAACTTCCAGATACAAATTTCGAATTATTTCAGATCATAATTTCAAAATTTGTCAGCTATATTGAATCCGCCATCTTGAATTTTCAAATTTCAACATTTTTTCATTGAAATTTGAAAGTCTCCATACACAGGTTTTGAAGACATTCGTATTATAATTACAAAACTCGTCTGCTATATTGGATTCGCCTTCTTGAATTCACCAATTCTGATGAATGAATCATAAACTCCTATCCCGAAAACTTTCAGATACAAATTCTGAATTGATTCAGATCATGATTTCAATATTCGCCAGCTATATTGGAACCGCCATCTTGAATTCTCCAATTTCAATGAGAGAATTATAATCTCTGGTCCCGAAGGCTTCCAGATATGAATTTTGAATTGATTTAGATCATAATTTCGGAATTTGTCAGCTATAAAGGATCTGCTATCTTGAATTCTCATATTTAATGGGAGAATCATAATCTGTGAACCCGAAAAATCCCAAATACAAATTTTGAATTTATTCAGATCATAATTTTGGAATTCGTCAGCTGAATTGGATTTGCGATCTTTAATTTTCAAATTCCAACGAGATAATTATGATTTCTGATACTGAAAATCTTCAAACACATTCGTATCATAATTACAAAACTTGTCTGCCATATTGGATCCGTCTTCTTGAATTCACCAATTTTGACGGAAGAATCATAGATGTTAATTTTGAACAGAATCGGATCATAATTACGAAACAATTTCGTCATCACCAGAATTATGTACATCGGCCGAATTTCGAATCAATCGATCTGTTTGAAGTGGGTCAAAATCAGATCCAAAGGAGTCGGTTACATGCAAGCATACATACATACATACATACATACATACATACATACATACATACATACATACATACATACATACATACATACATACATACATACATACATACATACATACATACATACATACATACATACATACATACATACATACATACATACATACATACATACATACATACATACATACATACATACATACATACATACATACATACATACATACATACATACATACATACATACATACATACATACATACATACATACATACATACATACATACATACATACATACATACATACATACATACATACATACATACATACATACATACATACATACATACATACATACATACATACATACATACATACATACATACATACATACATACATACATACATACATACATACATACATACATACATACATACATACATACATACATACATACATACATACATACATACATACATACATACATACATACATACATACATACATACATACATACATACATACATACATACATACATACATACATACATACATACATACATACATACATACATACATACATACATACATACATACATACATACATACATACATACATACATACATACATACATACATACATACATACATACATACATACATACATACATACATACATACATACATACATACATACATACATACATACATACATACATACATACATACATACATACATACATACATACATACATACATACATACATACATACATACATACATACATACATACATACATACATACATACATACATACATACATACATACATACATACATACATACATACATACATACATACATACATACATACATACATACATACATACATACATACATACATACATACATACATACATACATACATACATACATACATACATACATACATACATACATACATACATACATACATACATACATACATACATACATACATACATACATACATACATACATACATACATACATACATACATACATACATACATACATACATACATACATACATACATACATACATACATACATACATACATACATACATACATACATACATACATACATACATACATACATACATACATACATACATACATACATACATACATACATACATACATACATACATACATACATACATACATACATACATACATACATACATACATACATACATACATACATACATACATACATACATACATACATACATACATACATACATACATACATACATACATACATACATACATACATACATACATACATACATACATACATACATACATACATACATACATACATACATACATACATACATACATACATACATACATACATACATACATACATACATACATACATACATACATACATACATACATACATACATACATACATACATACATACATACATACATACATACATACATACATACATACATACATACAGGTGGAGTAAATGAAATTCTGTAAATAGTTATTCATACACCAAGGTAATAAAGAATATCAGTATAACCCAGAGACCAAGATTATATTCCTAGGCATCAGCCGAGATGTATTGTGAAGGTCTCGTGCTAATAATATTCTTCACTACCAAGGTGTATATTGAATATATTGGAGATATGACTGAAAGTGCAGTTTGCTTCAATTTTCTTTGCTACCATGGATCCTAGATTCATGAAATTTTGTACACGTCGTAAATTCAATTTCATGAACCGTGCGACATTCGTAACCGGAGCAACGAAGATGAGCTAGTTTTTTTGTTTCACGATTTGCCTCATTCAGTATCAGAATATGATTCGTCAAACGCTTTTACACAAAAAAGTACCAAGATGAAAAATGACAACTCTTCTCGAGTGTTCAAGAAGTCACATGCTGTCACTGATAATAAGGAAAATCGTTAAAAACTAGTTATTCATTATACATGGGCAAATAGTAGTATATTCTAGCTCCAAGTTATGTTGTCTACCGACGCGTGGGACGAATCAATATTGGAAAGTTGTTACATTATTCTAAAATGAGCCGATTATCGACATGGAATTTATAACGTTGTTTGCTTAGTCCCTGAAAAGGGGGCACTAAAAACATAGGGTATCTACTTATGTGAATAATAAAACTCAGGGGGTGGGTGTAAAAGTACAATATTCCTTTATTGTTGGTTGAGGTTGGTTCACTTCATATGGTGGTAAGTGGTGGTTAATTCTGAGAACTTTAAGTAGTGATTTATGAGCAGCAAGTGATGACTATTACAGATGAAACCATAATAACACAATCCAGATTGCAAGTTGCAGTGGAAACTTACCCAGCTTTCCCTCTGGTATCGATACCAAAAGTGTACAGGTTGATCACTAGATATACTATACTTAAACTATGCTAATACTGGGTGAGGTCAATGCATTATATCCTGAATTAGTGCAACTAAAAGAAGGACTAGATACAGCTCACTTTGAAGGATTTTTAGAGGTGACAGTGGCAGCTTGGAGCAGGAGTGTCCCACAGCAAGTACAACAGGTAAGTGCTAGATATAAGCAGTCTGGCCTGCTCAAGTCAGCTTCTAGGTCGAATCGTTGTTGGCTACCCTCTGTTTCAGAACTACAATTGACATGCTAGGCAGGAGGTATATGTAGGCTGGTGT